TTGACGTTTGCCTTGGTGGACTGCTCCGGTTGCCTACCAATTAATGATGTTCCCGCAAAAAAGATGAAGGGTCACCTCAACTGCTTTCTGAGCTTGTGGCAAATTCCCTCAAAACACAGCGCCACCGTCTCCGAGTACGCGTCAGAGGTCTGGAAGAAGATGCTTGCCGCTGGCGAAAAATTCAAATCTGACTATGGACCGAATAAGTGGAGAACTGGTGAAATGGTGACCGATCTGTACAAGTTGTGCAAGAATCTGGAAGCAAAGTTCCAGCAGGGTCTGGACTTGATGCAACAATGCCAGCAAATGAGGGTCGAGGCAACAAGGGCAGTAATGAGCAGACTGCAGCCGCAGGCACTTGCGCCGCCGAATCCTCCGCCAACACCTCAGTGTTGGGATTCGACACCTCCCTGGGATCCCCCTGGATCTGCGACTGCAAAAGCCAAAGGGATGAAAGGAGGAGTGCCAGTAGAAGGCAGAGTGCCAGGCAAAGGCAAAGCAATACTTCATCCTGAAGGGACTCCTCCCAGGGGGGCCCGCCCGCCTTTGCATCAACCGCCTCAGCAAAAGGCGAGGCCTCCTGCTCCGTGGCAGGTGCCAGCAAGACCGCTGCGAAATGCTGGGCCTCTGCCTGATCACCCTTGGCAGCAGGAGTGGGAACCACTACCAAGGGCGGCGGTGCAACCAAATCATCCTCCTCCTGGCAGGGGGCCGGTGCAACCAGATCATCCTCCTCCTGGCAGGGGGCCGGTGCAACCAGCTCATCCTCCTCCTGGCCACCAGCAGCAGCAACATCGCTGGGGCAGAACGGCCAGAATGCCCGTCATCCAGGACGAATACGAGGCCTGGCATGACGATGAGCCGAATCCCGAGCCGAATTCCCGGCCAAGAGTGCCAGAGCCGATGGGTCCCCCGCCGGCAAAGCAAGGCAGAGTGCCAGAGCCGATGGGTCCCCCGCCGGCAAAGCAAGGCAGAGTGCCAGATCCCGAGCCGAATCCCCCGCCAAGAGTGCCAGAGCCGATGGGTCCCCCGCCGGCAAAGCAAGGCAGAGTGCCAGATCTCGAGCCGAATCCCGTGCTAAAAGTGCCAGAGCCGATGGGTCCCCCGCCGGCAGAGCAAGGCAGAGTGCCAGAGCCGATGGGTCCCCCGCCGGCAAAGCAGCCTCCTGCCAAAAGGAAATTCGCCGACGGACAGCCTGTGCCTGTTGGTTCCAAGCCACAGTTTATGTCGGCAAGTGCTCCTGCTGAAATGACGGAAAAGCAAAGGATGGACGAGCAGGATTTCGCCAAGGAACTTGCCGAGTATGCTGACGATATGGCAAGAGGCTCCAATTTCGTTCCGCAGGGCCGACGCGCTGAGCCGGCCTGGGTGGCAAAGGCCCAGGGCTTGAAAAGCAAGGGCGACGCCGTCCCGATCGGGAAAGCAGCTTGCTTCGCCCAAAAGGGCAAGCCTGCCGGAAAGGGCCACAAAGGCAGAGTGCCAGTGGAGGACAATATCCCTACTCACCTTGTTGGAAAGGGCCGTCCAGCCCTAGTGCCACTTGTTGGAAAGGGCCGTCCCAATATCCCTACTCACCTTGTTGGAAAGGGCCGTCCAGGCGAAGCTCATCCTGCTTTTTTGCGGCATATGAAGACGGAGAAGGGAGGAATATGGTTGGACCCCAAGGAGGAGGTGGAAGCCGAGGAGGAGGACACTTTGGTTGATGTTGTGGTGGAAGAGGAGGAGCCTGTGCAAGATCCGTCGGACGATGAAATGGAATTTGTCGAGGTTGTGGTGCAGGATGAGCAACCGCCGCTTGAGATGGAGGCGGAGCCCGAGGAGGATGAGCATGCGTTCGCCACGACTGCCTCGATTCACCCGGATCGCTTGGACGAGGATGAGGGTGACAGCCAAGCAACAATGGTACTAGGGGACCATCTCCGAGAGGAGCAAGATGAGCCGATGCCTTCTGTACCGGAGACCCGGGTGACTGAGAGCGAGCACGATGCCGTCGTCGCCAAGGTCATGAACGAGCTGGAGGCTATGAATGTGGACCCGAGCCCGAAGGCTGCCGCAAACCCCAAGAGTGCGACTGCGCCAGTGCCTGGAGAGGTGAAGCCTTTCTTGGAAGCGGAGGAGGACCTCGGAATTACGGACCCCCAAGGCAGAGTGCCAAGGGGTCAAAACAAGATCAAGGTTCCAGCCGAGCTTTTGCAGCCAGAGACTGAGGAGGAGAAAACTCTCAGAGCGTTGCGGGGAATGCTGCCATGCAGTCACAGGGCGGTGACGACTTCGAAGGTGGGCCGCCTCGCCAATCGGGCACGTATGGCGAGACCGGTGCCACAAGATCAGCCGTTCAACCCCCAGCACAACGATCGGAAGTTCAACAGCAAGACTACGACTGTCATGACCCAGCTGCTCATGGCTGTCCATGAGATCACAGTCCGAGAATGCGAGAAGAATAACTTGCCAATGGAGAAGAAGGAAATGGTGTGGAATGACTTTCGGTCGAAGGGCTCGAAAACTGCGGTTGTCTGGGAGCTGTTGTGTGACAAGGGCATGAAGGAGATTCCAGACAACTCTGAGCCTGGGGACTGGCACCTGTGGCTTCAGAGGGAAACTGGGGTGGCGGTCATTGAGCAGATTCTCCAGTGCATGTTCAATGTCACTCCGCCAGTTCATGGCCGTGATCGAGTCAAGGGAAAAGAGCTGACATACTGGCACTGGTGGGAGGCCTCCAAGAGACTCCTTGAGGTTTATACGACGGAAGATGTCATCTCAAAGGAAAAATTCAGGCCCAAAGACCTGCAGAGCTGGATTGTGCCTTTGTCGTGCAAGATTTGGGATGCTTACAATTACACCATGCTTGTGTATTGTCAGAAGAAGCTGGAACAGAAGGCAAGGGGGGAAAACCTAGACGCGGTGAGCCAGATGGGTGATGATGTCCCGCCATCGGAAGATGAAGAAGAGGATAACTATGTGGATGTTTACCAGACCACTGCGAACTTCGTTCCTGATTGGGGAGTAACTGCAGATGGCTTTCAGGATTGATCAGTGTCAATGATTGAGCTGAACGAGTAGGTTTATTAATTGTGTTGCCAAAACAAAGCCATCTAGTGGACCTCCTCTTCTTCATCCAATTCGTCCTTGGGCACTGGGGACTTTCACAAGGCAGAGTGCCAGAGAGTTCTCGGTGTGACTAAGGCAGAGTGCCACCAAACAGTGTGGCCTGTTCAGATTCATTTTTGTGTCGCTGTCACTAGGCAGAGTGCCGGAAAGGCAGAGTGCCAATGTGAAATCGCATTTCTTGGGGCGTTTGAATGTTGTCACTTTTGCAGTCCGTCTGATCTGGCACATTTCAGCTTGCCGTTTTGGAAAACAAAGACGATGCCTATGCATACAGTCATGTCGGCAGTAACTCGATGGATTAATTACTGTGCCTGTGAATTGATTGGTTCAACCTTGGTTTCCTGTGACAGCCCCATAAAACCTTTCAGGTGCTGGCGTCCAAGGTGGTTGGCTACTATGGCAAGGCTGGAATGCATGATGCAAGTGATTGTGAGTTGTGGAAGCTGAAACGCTTGCTATCTGGCCGTTGATGGGACCATGCCACGTAGTGTGTACGGACTCTAGTGACTAGTGAGTGGATGCGCAAGAATTTCTTGACCTGGCCGCAATCAACATATGTGTGTTCAAGATCGAGTCCCTTAGTGCTGCAGTGGTGCTTCCAGGCAGAGTGCCAGAGACAGTCGCCGAGAGCAATGGGAAAGTCGAGGAAGAGCGCTCGTGTGAGTGATCAGATGATGTTCCCAATGCCGGGGGCAATGAACCCAGCAATGGGAATGAACAACCCACTGGCCATGATGAACCCTTTCATGTTGCAACAGCAGCAACAGATGCAGCAGCAGCAACAGATGCAGCAAATGCAGCAGATGCAGCAAATGCAGCAACAGCAGCAGATGGCTGCTGTGGGTGAATCAAGGCAGAGTGCCAACGACTCCTCCTCGTCGGAATCAGAAGACCAAGAAGTGAGGAGGATTCGTAAGGAAACCAAGAAGAACAGAGCAAGGCAAGCAGCAACGATCGGGATTGATCGGCTGGCAACGTCCACTACCGATGCAGATGCAATCCCGAGAAGCGCCACGACATTGCGTTCGATCCCTCTGGCTGCTTGTCAATCAACAGAGTATCCCTAAGGTCAGCAATGATCCCTGAACCCTCCCCCCACAAAGCCTAGATAAGCCTTACTGACTGAGGTGAAGGTGAAAGCTCTGCTCGAGCGAGTTCATAGTGCATGGGATGCCGCGGTCACGGCTGACCTGCCACAACAAACAGCGCTGCAACTGCTCTTCATATTGACCAATCTGAAGCCGACCACAAAGGTCAGTGAACTCAGGGTCGATAGCAAATACAGCTTGCTTGGTCAGCGATGTGCGAATGCCCATAAGCGTCAATCCCTCTGCGATAGCAGCAGTTGGAACCGCATAGCCAAACCGGTCCTGGGAATGGGGGTGAATATGTCTGAGCATTCTGTTGACAGGGTTGCCTTGGAGTGTGGATGGCAGTCCACATGGATGACCGAGGATGTCACGACCTATGCCAGGCGTAGAGCGAGAGCAAGGCAGTCCACTGAGACGCAGGGACGTCTCAGTTTCAATCCGAGTCCTGCTCCAGCTGCCCCGCCAACGGTTCCGCCGTCGGAAGGCAGAGTGCCAGACGTGGTCCGTTCTGGTCCTTTGCCAACGACTGCTCCTAGTTCCAATCCAAGCCAGGCTGTGGGTCGCAGCCCGGCTGGGGAACAAGGCAGAGTGCCGATTCAACAGCCGCCTGCCTCCCCTCATGCCGTTCCGGGTTCCAATGCAAGCCAGGCAACCGAAGGCAGCCAGGCTGCAGGAAGTGAACAAGACAGAGTGCCGAGGGTTGTGGAAGGCAGAGTGCCAGTTGATGGGAATGCTCCTGCCATGGATGACGATGGTCTAGCGCCGGCAGAGGCAGAGATCAGGCCCGATCAGGAGATCGTCATGCCTCCTGCAGAAGTGACCACTGCACCTCAAACAGTTGAGTTGCCAGGGCCAGACACCTCCACGAACAGTGACTCGACAGCTGGTGCTGACGTGAATGCCGTTGTGCCCTTTGCGACACCCAAGTCGAAAGCCAAAGCAAAAGCCAAGGGCAAGTCGAAAGCCAAGGCCAAGTCCAAGGCCAGGGCGACGGCACCAAACACAGAGTCGCAGGACGAGGTCGCAGTCGAGGTCGATGATGAGGTCATGGCCGAGGCCGGGGCCGAGGTCGAGGCCGGGGCCGAGGTCGAGGCCGAGGTCGAGCGCGAGGCCGACGACAGTGCCTTCTTTGAGGAGGAGGAGGAGGATGCTCCGAATGAGTCGAGCAGACCTGCGAACCGGTGGAACCAGGACCTCTGTGTCATTTGCCATTCGGAGATGCCCCCGGGCCAGGCAGGCTGGTTTCGTTTGCCTTTGGTTAATGAACCATTGATAGTGGTGCCTGTCCTGTTTGTACATTCCACTAATCCTCAGAACAGTACCTCTCACATGACGTGTCTTTTTCTGTTGCTTCCCTGGAATGCAGGCATTGGAAGCGCTATCGTGTGGCCACCTCTTTCACAGCGAATGTATCAATCGATACTGTGAGTCGACCGGGCGGAACAAGGCCACCGCTTGCCCTCTCAAGTGTGCGAGCTCAGCCTCTATGGCAAGGTTCTTTTTGGGTCCGAGGGGGTCCACGGGAAGCAATGCCCCTGTTCCTGTCGAAGATGATGCTAATGATGTGGACGCAATCGTTCAGGAAATACAAGCTCAACTCGTTGACGACCGCACTCGTGAAGAGGAAGCTCCTGAGGTCAACGACCCCGTGGTGGACTGATTGCGTCGACAAGGTGGCTCGGTAACAAGGCAGAGTGCCACAATAACTGGCTCATGTGTATGTGTTGTCGGTGATGTGGCCTCGAGTCTTATTAATTTTGGAGGTGTGGCAATGCCATTGTCACAGACATGTTTCTGAAGGCGGAGTGCCATGGGTTGTAACATGTGTTCCATGATCATTATGTATTGACATGATTGTGTTGCCTTGTGTTGCATTATGCCATCAGGAATGTATGTCTCTTTGTAATCCCAGGCGGTCTGTCGATTTCACAAGGATACTGCAGATGCCTGTGGACAAATCCGCGCCAAAGGCAGGATCCAACCTGTCCTAGAACACCAGTTGGGAGGGACCCAACAAAGGACCACGGAAGTCTGCAATGGGGTGCATCCGTGTTTAAAAAAACATATGGCCTTTGAAGGGACACCATCCCCATACCGCCCCACAGGCCCTGCAAAATCTTAGAAGACATTTGTGACACTTGTGGCATGCCCCGGAAAAATCTTATTGAATCTTATTGAATCTTATTGAATCTTATTGAATCTTATTGAATCTTATTGGTCCATCATTTTTAAAAGGGACACGACTCCAGATCGCCCCAAAAAATCTTATTGAATCTTATTGAATCTTAGAAGACATTTGTACAACTGTGGCCTACCCCGAAAAAATCTTATTGAATCTTATTGAATCTTATTGAATCTTATCGGTTTTACAAGGGACACAGCCTCCAGCTCGCCCAAAAACTCTTATTGAATCTTAGAAGACATTTGCAGGATTGTGGACTACCCGAAAAAATCTTATTGAATCTTAGTGTTCGGGCCATCACGTTTTGAAGGCACACCGACCCTGTACCAGACAATTGCACACATGTAGCATCCCCTCCCAAAAGTCTTGTTGGAGCTTATTGAATCTTGGGAGCTAGTTATACAATATCGAATCCCATTGAATCGGCACAGTCCAGCTAACCCAACCAAATCCCTACGAGTAGTAACACATCTTATGATTAAGCATAAACTAGGTGGCACTCTGCCTTGAAGTACCTTTAAACCATGGACCTCCTTAAAACCTAAAACCCTGAAGCTCTTTTAAACCCTAAACCGTTACTGTGTGTGGTAAGTTTACACATAGACCTAGGTATATGTATAACATACATACATACATATAGATATATGTATGGATTATATGCATACACTTATTATTGGGCATACTGCTTTCGAACATTAAACTACATCATCTATTAATAGCACTCTGTCTTCAAATATGTGTTAATCTAATGATCATGTGCATAAATGCTTGTGTCGTCCAGTGGAACCTATTGCATGTGGTATTGAAACGGACATGACAATCAACTTCTAGTACCTGTTCGTACTATCCAACACATATAGTTGCTTGCAGCTTGTTGGATCAAAGATATTTAAAGTTAAGCACCATGGCACCGAAACCGAAGGCCAAACCGGCAGCAGCGGGGAGGATCGGCCGGGTGAGGACTCCGAAGCGACGGCCTCGTAGAGTGCCGCCAACCGGTGTGAATGGCATTGGTGAAGAAGGCGGTGGGGCGGAAGGCAGAGTGCCAGGGCCCCCCAGGGGTCCGCCGCCGCCAACACCTGTGAATCAGCCACCTTTCCCAAGACCTCCCGCCCCTGCGCGACATGAGTTTGAGATTGCCCAAGCTGTGGCAGAAGCGTTGGACATTATGGAGACCCCGATCATGATCAACTTCGAGCCGGATGTGGTTACTGTTAGGGAGGGCCGCATTGTTCTGGTCACCCTTGAGAACTTGCCCCCTGAAGAGATGCAACGTCGGCAGTTGGGACGGCGAATTTGTGCCATGTGTTTCAATGCTCCAGACAACCCGCCGCCACCAATAGTGCCGCCAAGGCCGATGTTGAAAATGGCTATCCTGGCCCTAACAATAATGCCAACAGTGGAGCTACTGAAGGCAGAGTGCCAGAAGGCAGAGTGCCGGAAGGCAGAGTGCAAGATGAGTTCGAAAGTGGAGTTCGTGGTCAAATGTTTTTTCGTTTGGAATCTCGCCCGGATGCCTGGTTGACTGGGCCAGCTCGTGCCGAAGGTGAGATTCACGCCTCGGACTCAGATGTGATTGAGGAAGGTGTTCGAGATGTTCGTCTTGGTGAGCTTGGAGGGCGGGGTCGTTTGGGTATTGATTATGGGCACATCTCAGAAGAAGACCCGGGCTGGAGTCAGCGCGGCTCAGCGGATGATGGAGCCCCCTCAGATGTGATGGAGGAAGGTGAGGAGTCCGACTCTGAGGCTTCTTCCACTAATGCTGGTTGTCAGATGGAAGACTGATTATTTTAGCTCACCAGCAAAGACTGCATAGAAGGCAGAGTGCCAGTGCAGAATCTGCCTGACAAGTGGCTGCCACCTCGGTGGTCTCGCAATCGTCGAGTGATATGGATGGACTGCTGTGTGCGGTACCAGAAAAACGAGAATCGAGTGAGGGTCTGGCAGTACTGTATTTGATTGCTTGAGCATGAAGTCATGGTCTGCAACAACTATGCCACATGTGAATTTCAACGAGTGATTGCATCATGTCTGTCTCATCCTTGTGTTGTGATGGATCAATCGAATCACAAGTGTGTCAACTGCTGAATGTGCTGGTTCACAATTACGTTGTTAATTCGAACACCCTTGAGGTTAAGGTGTTACACTTTCTTGCGGATAGGACAGAGGGCCATGCACAGTGCAATTCGGAGTGCCATGTCTGCAGCAGCAGATGACCCGGCTGAAACAAGAAGAAGACTGTTAGCAGACATTCGGCGGCAGTTTGATTCAAACATCGAACTGGAGAAGAGATTCTTGGCCATTTCGAGAGGACAGGATGTTCTGCGCCTTTGCGAAGTTGACCCGTCGCTTCTGGAGTTCCATAATGAAGGTCCTTATGAAGTTCTGCCTGAGTGCAACTATGATGTGATTCTTGAAGCCAGTGGGTTTTCCTGGATGATATCAATCTGGCAACAAATGTTATCAGAAACTGTTCCCATCATGACTTCGTGGCCATGGAAGAAACAGATGAGATTCCTCATCAACTTTTGTCATTGGAAGCGGAACATAAGGCAGAGTGCCAGGTTCCACTTCCTGGAGATCTTTGCAGGGCAGGTCAACCTCAGTCGGGAGATGCTCCGTGCTGGCTGGCAGGGGCTAGCCTTGGACATCAGGTACGGCACAGATCATGATATTCTTTCTGTGAGAGGACTTCGCCTGGCTGTCAATGCTGTGTGTCAAACACACAAACACGGCCTGGTGTGGTTTGGAACTCCATGCTCTTTCTTCGTCCAACTCTGTAAATACAGTACTGGAAGGTCCATTGCCAATGACTGGATGGGAGAACCTGAGCGATCGCTGGCATGCCAAGAAGGCAATCGTTTGATGTATGTGACGCTGCTGTTGACTTTGCTCGCGGCTTTGAATGACAACCGGTTTGTGATCGAGCAGCCTTGCTCCAGCATGCTGTTCGACATTCCACTCGTCGATCGTGTCATGGGAATGATCCAGGCTATGAAGGTCAAAACCTATGGTGGTGCCTTCGGCCAGACCATCCTGAAACCGCTTCAACTGTGGAGCAACTGTCAGCACATCAATGGTATGCGGCGCAGCTATCCTTCCCATGTCAGAGGAAGTGCTGGTTGCGTTGATCGAGATGGTGAGAAGTTCACCGGTCGTCCTGAAGATCTTCAGGTGTCAGAGGAGTACACCCCGGAGTTCGGCAAGGCTGTGGCCTTTCATATGATGAGTGATGTCCCAACATGAATTGTAGCTGAAGGCAGAGCGCCAATAAGGCAGAGTGCCATAATTCTCTAGAGTTAAATGAGCTTGCTTCATCTTTCGACATTCTGTCTTGTTGGTATTCTGCTTTCCAATGTTGGGACTGGGTTGAGCCCTGGACCCCCTCCGGTCCCTCCATTAGGTGCCGATGAAAATCATCGCCGCCTCGTGGAAGGATCTGAGTGATCCGAGCTGGTGCAGCTGTGCAATGAAAATGTAGAGAGCTTCAGTCACTCCGTGATCAGATGTGTTTGTCGGTATTGTCTCAGTTCGTATGCTGCTGTCGTGCAGGTGGCAATGACCTGGCTGGTGTCTCGACCTCCAGTTGCAGGCATCGGTGGCCTGTGTTAATCATTCCATGTGGTTGTCAGTTCAGTGCCATCTGCGATAGTTTCCTGTCTCAAGTTCGAGTGACATGATGTGGCTGCTGACATGTCATCGTGAGTCTTTGGGTTGATTTCTTAAGAATTCAATGTGTTGTGAACTGGGGCTTGTTACACAAGTGCAGGTGTGTGTCAGTATTTAGTAAGATTCAAGTACAGTGTTGCTTTGGAGGATTTCGGTGATGCTTCTGAAACTGTGGGTCATGCTATTGCTCCGTGATGGGCAATTGCTTAACTTGGAAAATGATGCAAAACTGCCAGCGAGAGCAGCTTGGCTCTCACAGGGCGAACTGTGGTGGCGTCTGGACTTGTTTTTCGATGAGAGCAACAGCACATACATGAGTGTCTGTCCGAGACATTGTCAGCCGGCCTCCAGGTGTATGTCATTGGGCACTACTTGAGTGTACATGATGCTGGTGTGCCTGTGACGTCTCGCAGGGCACTTCTGGGCAAGCGTGTTCCATTGAAAAAGACTGTGGACATCAAAAGCATCTGGAAGTTGCTAGAGGGCGCTGCAAAAAGTGGGACCTCTTTGCGACAAGCCCTCATTCTCAAGAACCAGGACGAACGCAGCGACCTGCATGGTTCCTTGGTGATTTGATATGGAGTAGAATGTTGTTTTGTTAACCAGTTGTTTAAGATTAGTGAATTCTTTGTCACACATTCATTTGATGCCACGTACCCGCGCCACAGTCGAACTAAATTCGACTACCGCTCTTGCCATGGCCGACCCGACGTTCGGCTCTTGCGCCAAGATGTTGGCCAAGTCCAGCAGAAGGTACACAATGTCGGGGGCAGAAGTATCCGCTGCGAACTCTGGGATGGCACCACGAC